AATATCACATATATATATATATATTAATTTGTTTATTATCTATATTACTATTATTGGATATTTTTTATTCTTATGACTAGAATTTCATTTATGTGTGTTTTGTAAAAATTTAGCTATCAATTTCATATTTATCTTTGTATATTTAGATAATGCAGGTCCACATCAGGACTCTTGTCTTCAAAGGGCGGCGGGGCGGCCTATTTTTTTTGTAACCTGTTTTATCAAATAAACGATGTATGTATTTATGTATGTAATTAGTTTTTCAGTAATTACGATATCTCTGTGCCGTGGCTAGATGACAAGTATGTTGTCTTGCATGTAATGAAAGCCTGTGAAAATATCTCAGTCACGTCGTTCATTTGAATTGAAAAAATGAAATACATATTGCTCATGATGCATTGTGGCCGGCAGTACACTGTAAAACACTTGAATTTTTGCAGTTTTAAAATTTATTGCAATTTAAAAATGAATAAAATCAAATCCATTTGTAAGATGAATTAAAAGATAAAAAGGACAAATGTCTAGCGTGCTGATGTCCTCGATAATCTATCTCACTGACAGCTGTTATATTTTTTGCCGCAAATATTCAGCACGGAAAAGTAAAACCCATTTAAAGAAGAGTCACATAACTGAACATGATATTGCATTGACAGACGAAAGTTTGCTTATGCACATGAAAGTATTGAAATGTAAAATTTTTTAGCTCGTTGTGCATGCCAACACATTCAGTCGAATGTCCCACTCAGTCACTCTTTTTTGAATATTGAAATAAGTTGTGACTGATTTAGCAATTCAATAGCCCTATATCTTTCGTTTTAAAGTGTATATCAAGRAAAAAATTTATTTTCAAAAATGTGAATAGTGTAGTAGTATGGTTGCAGTATTTTTGTATCTGAACCTCTCTTTTCAGAGATATAAACATTTGAAATATCAATATGCAAATGAGACGACGTAAATTCAAGACTAATTTATTATACAAAAATTCTGTTGTGGAAAGTACTGCTTTTTTTCCATTTGCAAATCATCCTTATAACTGAAATGTATGGTTTTTTACACCATTTTTATACTATGTTATTTCACTTCAGAACGCCTGTCGTAAACTTCACCGCAAAATGTAACACATTCTGGAATTTACTGCAACCATACTACTACACTGTTCACATACAAGTGATTTTGAAAATTATTATTTTTTCCTTACATTTTAACGCTAAGATTCATGGTTGTGCAGTGAGAGTCAAAACAACGACAACACAAAGCCGAAACCACGAGATATTGTAATTTTTATAACTTAGAAATCGATAGCACAGCTCCTAAATACCGTATACTTTTTTTTTTTTAATTTACACTCATAATTTATAATATAAGGTAAACATTGGTTTATAATATATTTGTAAACGCGACATAACATAGCTATATCATCAGGTTGAGGGTAAAATTAGTCCAAAATCGCGTGTCGTTTATTCTCCATACGTCCCCCTCATAAAGCTGCCTGACATCGTCATAGTGATATATCGTGCACTGAATTGCCCAAACGTCGAACTTCACAAGCACAATTTTCATGATCACTTTATGATTTTCATGATCACGTCGAACTGACCAGCACTAGAACAGATCAAAATGTAGACAGATGTTGCGATATTAATAACAGATGAGATCCTTGTGTGTTCTTAAAGGATGTCATACTTGTACGTTTAATCGCTTTGTCCATCAGACACCTGCACTGCTTATTTGGGTAAATCTAGATTTCTAGCTATTTCTATTAAGTGAGATAACTAGCTAAAAATTAGTGTGAGCTGCGTCGGTGTTTCTAATGAAACAGTAAAGATAAAAAGGTAAATTTACACCGTGAAAAGATGAAAAAACCTACTGACGTTTCGGACGCTAGTCCTTCGTCGGAGTAAAAGAAATAGCTTTTACTCACTAGCGTCCGAAACGTCAGTAGGTTTTTTCATCTTTTCACGGTGTAAATTTACCTTCTTATCATCACTGTTTCTGTTAGGTGCTTATCTTTCTCAGGCTATTTTGAATACATTTAATTTCAATAACAACTTAGAAGGGCTAGCCGGTTTTTTCTGTTCTGCCGGCCGGTTTACGCGAAGATCCCCGCTTGCTATATTTTTATGAATCATTAACACTGACTCTTTCCGCTGAGTTTAACATTTAGGGGGAAAAGAAATATTTAGGAGGTCGATACAAAAAGTGATCGCACATCGAAGACCATCTTTTATTCAAATTTTTAGTAGGATTTTCTTGTCATGAGTTGAAAAGGAAAGCAAGGAAAAGAAAAAGTAGGGAGAGAAAGGGAATTGAAAAAACGCGTAAAAGGACAGAGAAGAGAAAAGAAACGGAACGAATAAACGACTGAAAATAACGACAAGTCCCAATGGGAGATTTTACTCTATTAAGGGCGGCCACCAGACGTACGATTCCCCGTGACGGGCCGCTTAAAAGAGTATCTAAATTATTCTGAAGACAAGCCGGAAAAAAATGAAAGAAAGAAAGAACAAGCACGAGACCGCCTTCAGTAAAATATAGCTCATTGTATCGTACGTGAGCATTACCGGATGCACTCGGTTCCAAGAAAAAAATTATCCATTAAACCTGACAGGTCAGGGTCCGAGATTAACAAATTGCCTTTATTTCTCTCTCTCTCTCTCTCTCTCTCTCTCTCTCTCTCTCTCTCTCTCTTTATTTCTTTCTTTCTGAAAAACATTTTAATGGCTGTTTTCCAGCCCACTGATTGGATAGTGTTCACTTACGTGCTTTTTGATTGGTCAAGAAGGAAGCCATTTTTCAAGTGGCACGGCATATAGCATTCAACGTGTGACTTTAATACAATTTTAGGCTGCGTTCATAATGTATGGCAGAGGGGAGGGGGGGCAGGGGGGCAGGTGAAAATTTGAAATGTCCAGAATAATTCTTAACACCCTCCTTAGTCATGTAATTTTTCTAATAACAATTTGCCCATCCCCTCTTTTTCCTACCAAAATTTTCCCGATCCCCCCTCAATT